CACCCAGGAGAAGGAGCAGCTGGAGAACTGCAGGAAGCCCAACCCGGGAGCCAGCCGCCTGGAGGCAGCCCTGCCCCAGGGCTCGGCCCAGGATGGGAAAGGCCTGCCAGAGCTGGGGTCCCAGGGGCCGGCCCAGGATTGGCCCGACGGTGAAGCGGCGTCCGGAATCGGCTCCGGAGCAGAAGGCCTTGGCAGGAGAGCAGCAAGGGGGGCCAGCGCGGGATGAGAAGGACCTGAGAGGTGACGAACCCCGTGGGCAGCCGCTGGCAGTGAGGGACCAGCCCCAGGGATCGGCGCAGGAGCAGAGAGACCGAAGTCACCTGGAGATGAAAATCCAATGCAAGCCCAGCAGCCATGTGGAACGGAAAACGAGCTCCCTGGCTATGCCCCCCTCCAGCCAGCAGGTGAGCGGTGCGGCAGCATCACCCATTCGTGGCGCTCAAGCCATGGTCTCCCAGCGCTTGGGGGTTTCCCTCAAAGCCTCTGCCAGTCAGGGCCCAGTGGGAAAGGAGTCAGGCCTGTGTGACTTGGTGGAACCTGGCTTCCGTCTACATGGAAGCGGGTGTGACCCAAAGGCTCAGCCCCCAGAAGGCAAAGAGCTCGTCGGTGGGCGGGATGGAACCTGCGACCTCTGGAGCTAAAAGCCACGTGCCCTTCGCTAAGGCTGTTGAGGACTCGTGACTCGCAATGTTTTCTGCCCCTACACATTGATCTACAGACCATGGGGGATGGGTGATAGCCCAACTGGGGAAGGCAAGCCCCAGCTCCACCCCTTCTGCCTAAGGCCCTGCCCCTGGAGTCAAGCCCCACCCACCCCAGCCCAATCCTTGCTGGCCACCTGGAGGGTTGAAATAGCTGCGCTGCGCCTTGGCCCCAATCCAGCCGTCTTGGGCACCCGGGGTGTGGAGGCAGCTCTGGGAAGGCTGTGCCTCCATTACTGGCCACCTATGGAGGGATGTAGGTTACGGTAGCACCAGTACCCGCTTCCCCCCGCGGAGCCGAGCCCTCGGCTAGGCCACCCCCCCGCTGCTTTGGGTGGCTTGGCCGGGGAAGAGATTGGGGTCTGGCCCCTCCAGTCCCGGTTCCTATGGTCTGGAGCTGCTGAGCCCCTGGGCCTGAGCCCTGCCCGCTGGCGCTTGACTGGGGTGAGTGATGCGTGTGTGTTCCTCCCCCAGGGTACAGCCAAGATTCGCCTCCGGGCTCCGGAGTCAGCTGGGGCCCCTTCCGCCCAAGATGGACCCAGAGTCTCCTCGGTCGCTTCCCCGACTCAGCTCACCTACAGCAGCTCGTTCAAACGCGTCAGCCCGAGGACCGTCTCGTTCCGGGTGAGTGCTGAAGGGCGGGGCAGCACCCCTCCGGCCTACAGGAGCCGGGTTTCTTCGTGCTGCGCTGGCGGGACTGGCGCCAGCAATTGCTTGCTCAGGCAGGGGCTTGCAGAGTCCATTCCGAATGGACCCAGAGATCCAGTCCCAGGTTTTCTCCTTCTCCTTATTAACATGAGCCCAGCTGGAGCAGAGTCTAGGTATTCCCTGAACAGCACCTCCAGCCGGGCTGTGTGTCTGGGCCCAAAGGGGGGAGATTCGGGAAGCCGGGATACAAGACTCCGGGGGAGCATGGAAGCTGGCACCGAAGCTCTTGGTCCCATGAGCCCCTGAGATGCTGCCACCCTCCCCCAGGGCAGTGCCCAGCTCATGGCCCTGGCTCTGCCTCAGTTCCCCCTAAAGGCTCTGGCAGCCCAGGCTGCATTCTGTCCTCCTGTAGCTCCGCTGAGTGGCCTGAGGGGGGGTCTGAGCCCAGCATCAACCTGCCCCCTGTTCCACTGCCCACCCTGGGAGGTCTGTCTGGCATTGCCCCCTTGTGGAGTCCGCTCTGAACCCCCGGAACATGCTGCCCCTCGTCTCGGCTGCTGCGAAGCGGCGCGTCCGATCTGCCAGGCTGGACAGACTCTACCAATCCAAATGCTGCCGGGGTGGTAACCGTGGCCCCCAGCTCCCGACTGCCCTGGAGATGTGGCCCTGCCATGCTGGTGCCTCCACGGGCCACTCGCCATGGCTGCCTCCAAAGAGTCCAAACGAGCCTCTCCCCTCAGCGCTGGTACGGCCAGGGCAAAGCGTGTTGCCCAAGCGCGGAGAAGGAAGTGACGTTAGCAAGAACAAGAGGCCGCTCCGGTTACACCTGGGGCACGCTGGCGAGTGACTCCGCCCAACCCAACCAAGCCACATGCCTACTCGCCGTCACTTCCCAACCCCCCTTCCCCCGCCAAAGGGTTCCAACTTTCACGGGTCCGGAGGGGCTCTGCCCTTCTGCCCCCTACGTGATAGATCACAGGTGTCTTTCTGCTCCCTCCCGTTTCTCTGTATCCAGCCAGGAGGGCTTCCCGGGGCACGCAGTCCGTCCTCAGGTGTGACTTAATCAGTAGCTTCCCCTCTTGCCAGCTTGGATTATCTATGTAAATGCCCTTTCATCCTCCTGTGCCTGTGGCCCAGCTGGTCAGACAGGTGTATCCGTATCCCTCTGCCTAGTGTGTGCCTGGACCCAGCTGCTCCTTTCAGGACGTGCTGTAAGCCCACCGCCGAACTCCGGGTGACGTGTGGCTGGGTTGTGTGCAGGGGTGGTGGGGAGGAGCAGGCCACCAGTTCACACCCGTTCCTGCTGGCTGTCCTGTTCCAGCACCAGTGTGAGGCCATGAGCCTGCCAGGCCCGATGGAGGTCGAGGTGGGCCCTCTGCAAGCTGGTGCTGAGAGGTGTTCACTGTCACACCCTGCCCAAGCAGTGATCTCTGCAGACCTGGACCTTGTTTTCCGGGCTGGCCCTGTCCCAGCTACAGGCATTGCCTGCAGTACGTGTGGCACTGGCCCCGGACTCCCAAGTTGCTGGCTAGTGAAGTCGTAGGGCTGTCTGGCCTGCAGAATGGACCAGGGGGTGTTGCTCTGGGCTGCAGAATGCCCAGGAGCAGCCGGCCTGGAAGGGTTTACAGCTGGCTGGATCGCCTGGAGGCACGCGGGGAGAGGCTGGAACCGGGTTTGTGTGTCCCTTGGAACGGAGTCTGGGCACTGCTGTCAAACAGCAGCAGCTCTTTAGCTTCACTTATCATGTTACTACACGTGGGAGAGGTTTCTGCAGGGATGGCCCTTGGCCCAGGTTGGAGCAGTATCGGGACGTCTGGCCTGAAGGGCTTTGTGCTCTGGGATTGCAGAGCCAGGGGGATGAAGCAGGCCGGCCAGGAGAAGTGGGGGGGGGGGGGGGGCCACACTGAGGGGAGGGAAAGGTGAGGCTAGGGATGGAGACGTGAATGGGCAGAGGAGGGGGAAATAGATCGAGAGCCTCTGGCTCAGGGTGGAAACCAGATGTGTTCTAGGACCAGGGTTCCCCCATCCCTTGGCTAGCCCTGAGGAGAGGGGAGCAGGTCACAAGCGATTGGAACCAGCCCAGGTTTTCACTTGGACCTGAAGTCTGAAGATGTCTAGGCTCTGCCCCATGCCCAGATGCTCCATGGTCCCAGATGGGATCTGAAGCAGCAGTGGTCACGAACTCTGCGATGGCTTGGCTCAGAAGCCACCAAGCGAACCCCACTCCTCAGTCCCATGGTGAGCTGACCCCCAGGAGATGTCCCACGGCTTGTGGAGCCAGCAGCAGGCTGGTCCCAGCTGGGCTGTGTGAGCATTCACTGCCCTAGGAAGGGCGCCTCTTCCCAGCCAGTCTCCTGCTTGGTCGCTGAGCCATGCCTCCTCTCTGCTTGCGTTTGCAGGTGATGTCCAGAAAAGACCAGGAAGACAACGTGTTCACCAGAAGGTCAGTGGGTTTGCTTGTCAATGCCACAAAGCTGCTGCTAACTCCAACCTTCTCCCCCAGCTGCCATCCAGGGCTCTCCAAGCGCACGCTGAGCCCGAAAGGCCTCCTCTAGCTCCTCTGACAATGGCAAACCTTGCCCCCACCGTACAATGGGGGGCAGGGGGGACTCTGCACAGACAGACTCCAGTGTGGCATCTCAGCCCTGGTTAGCTGTTAACTCGGCTGGGGTTTAATCAGCCAGGCTACAGGCGAGACCAGTGGCCAGACAATAGAACAGACTCGGAGAAAAATAAACTGGTGGGGTCTTCTCACCAGGGCCACCCAGAACATCCCTCTTGATGCACAATGGCATGGAGAATGGGAGAGCGGAGTTCTGTTTCCGGAGCAGTCACTAGACTGGCTCTGCAAGTCCTGGCTTCCCCCCCCTCCCCCCACTCCATGCCTCAGTTTCCCCTCTTGTACAGTGTGACCTTAGCCCAGATCCTCAGGCACCCAAATACCTTTGACTCCCACTGTTGTGCTGGGGCCTCATTCTGCTGCTGTACAGTGTGGGGGGTGGTAGTGGTGCCAGGCCTCCCTAGGGCAGCTGGCAAGGCTGGATCCATCAAAGATGTGCTCAGATTGGGTCATGGGCCATCTCGGACAGCTAAAAATCACTTCCCTGGATGCAGTGTAGTAATAAGATAAGGGAAGCTAAAGTGGGTTGGTTTTAAATCCCCATTTTATAGGGGAGCAACCGAGGCACCGAGAAGGGAATGGAATTCCCAGAATCCCAGGGCTGGAAGAGACCTCAGAGCATGGAGTCCAGCCCCCTGTCACTGGGAGCAGGCACTTGGTACCACGGTGTCAGAGCCTGAATGGAGTCAAGCCCAGCTCTGCCAGTGCCAAATAGACCCTCCCCCACTGGCCTGTCACCAGGCAGACTTGGCCACGGCATGAAGGATGCTGGGGGGTTCACTCAACTCTTTCCACCTCTTCCCCCTCCCCAGTGCCAGCATGAGACTCCCAGCCAACAAGATTGAGGAGAAACTGGAGAAATACGCCTCGGCCGTGCAGGTACGTGGCGCCCCAGGGGGTCACAGGCTGGGCCGGGCCTGCAGGCCCTGTGAATGCCGGGCGAGTTCTGTGGCCTCCAGGTGGCCGTGGGGTGCTTGAGTGCCGCGTGGCTGAGCGGTATGTGGCCTGGGGAGGAGGGGAAGCGACGGAGTCAGGGAGAGTCCATCACACAGAGGAGAGCAACGGCTCCTGTCTCTGCTCCCAGCGCTCTGAGGTGAAGTCGTCCCTGCTGAGAAACGTCCCCCCTTCCTCGGAGGGTGTGGCCAGCAAGCGCAGCATCTTCGAGGCCAGCAAAGCCGACTCAGTTCCTGTCAGAAAGGTGAGGGCTGAGGCGGGGCGCAGCAGGGGCTGAGGGGGGACTGAGACTCGCTGCGAATGAGCCCTGGGCAGGTAGCGGAGGAACCCTGCCCCTCGGGGCCAGATTCAAGCAGCTGCTCCTTCATCCTGGTGGCACTTGCCAGGCAGAGCCCCCGTGGCTGTGTGCCCCAGTGGACGCCCCACCTGCTAGGTGCATGCACTACCTGGGTTTCCTTTGCAGCTGCCGGCTGCACTGCCAGGGGCTCCCCTGCAGCTAGGCCCCCAGTTCCCCCCCATGTCTTCGGCATGGGGCACACTAGGAATGCTCCATGCAGCCAGCAGGTGGCACCCTGCCCTGTGAGTTGGCCCTGACACCTGCCCCCTACTGGACCACAGCTGGTGTCCTCAGAGATGAGGTTTGAAGCTGAGATCTGCCCCACGGGGGGAGGGGTCACTCGAGCCAGTGGCACTTGTAGGAAGAGCAGAGGCTGTTAGGCCTGGGTAGTTCCTGCCATGTGTGCTCATCTTGCATAGGAAGCACAGAGCATAGGAACCCTTGCAGCGTGTGCCAAGCCGTGTGGCCCCCCCAGAAGTGGCTGCATTCCAGTGGTGGGTACAGTGTGGTCTAACTGCTCCTGTTGTGTGGCAGGAGAGCTTGAGGCTCCCGGGCTTGGTGACATCTCGCATCAACCTCTGGATAAGCAGGACCGAGGAGCCCAGCCAGGATGGAAGAACCAAGGTACTGAATGTGCTGGCATTTTGACACCAGGGGCGCAGTCCATGATGGCGAAGTGGTCCTGGTCATGCTGACTGGAGTCTGTAGGGAGATGCTGGCCATGGTACCTGGGACCACGTCCCCCTTCAGCACCTCTAATTCGAGCCAGCTCCTCTGCCTTAGTTTCCCACCTGGTGGGACTTTGGAGCCTGCTTGGGAGGCTGGGGTAATGCTCAGATCCCGCCCTCTCGTGTGGTTACAGCACTCAGGGCTCACCCCCGACCTGTAACCCAGCTGGCCAGTCCCCGCACCCAGAGCCCTGATGTGAGCCGTGTGGGTCTGTTTGGATCCAGGGCTCTGGGGCAGGTTCCATCCGTGTAGCCGATGGACCGTTCCAAGCAGCATGGTCCGGGCCCAGAGCAAACCCTTCCCAGCTGGTTCCTCCCTCTCTGCAGGACACTGGGAAAATGGACGGCGTGCCAAGGCGCGGCCCCTGGGCCAAGCAGCACAGCGACGCCTCCACCGACACCCGGGTAAGAGCGCAGGGAACGCGGGGCTTGCCAAGAGCCGGTGGCTGAGCTGGGCTCCAGCTCCTGGAATCTCCCTGCTAGAGCAGCACAAAGCAGCCACAACAGGGGCCAGCGTCTGTCCCTTAGGGTTTGGAACGGCTGCCATGTGAAGAGAGATAAGATGGGGACTTTTCAGCTTAGAAAAGGGGGGATATGAGAGCTCTCTAAAATCACACCTGATGTGGAAAAAGTGACTAAGGAAAAGTGATTTGCTTGTTCCCATAACACAAGAACTAGGTCAGCAAACGAAATGTATAGGTAGCCAGTTTGAAACAAACACAAGAAAGTTTTTCTTGAAGCAACGCAGAGTCAACCTGTGGAACTCCTTGCCAGAGGATGCTCTGAAGACCAGGACTTGAACAGGGTTCACAAAAGAACTAGATAAATTCATGGGGGTTCAGCCCTAGCTAATAATAAGCATTGATGGATCTGTAGCCCCAGCCTCTGTTTCAGAGGTTGGGAATGGGTCAGGGGATGAATTGCTTGATGAGTCCCTGTTCTGTTCACTCCCTCGGGGGCACCTGGCATTGGCCACTGTGGGCAGACAGGACTTTGGGCTAGATGGACCATTGGTCTGACCCAGTCTGGCTGTTCTCATGCCCTCGCCAGGCCTGTGCACTCAGAACTCTGCTCTGTGGCATGTTGGAGGTGCTGGGTGCGAGCCCAGTGTCTTCAGGGGATAATAGCTCAGAGGAGCTGGTATTAGGGGGACTTGCGGCGTTGTGGGGTGAGTCACCAGAAGGTGAGGTCATGGTGGGTGAGGAATTGGGTGTCTCGGAGCAGCTGGGCAGCAGGCGAGTGTTGGAGCCCTGGGCCAGTTATAAGAGGCCAAGGCTCAGAGCAGAGGCTGATCTCCGTAGTTTCAAGCATTTTTCTCTCTGGCCTGCCCTGCCGATGTCCCTTTGTCTCTTCCAGCTGTAATGCGAGGAGGCTCCCTGGAGAAGTCTTGCTGTGATGGTCAAAGCCAGGCCCTGTGCAACCCTGCAGTGTCCCTCCGTGGCTTTCTCTGAGCACCCTCCTCCCATGAAATGGGCCCTGAGACCGGCTTTCCCCTCGGGGTCCTGGCGTCTGACTCACGGAGTGGGGGAGGAAGATCCGAAGAGGACTCGTTTCCCGAGCAGCTGTTCCTTCCCACCGTCCGGCCTGGCACTGACATAGCAAAGCCACGAGTTCTGTCTGCACTGGGTGCTTCCCTGCCCTCTCCCCGCCGCCTCCTGTTCGCTGTGCCTGGGACCAACGTCCCCCGGGAACCAGC